CTCTCTTTTTCTCTCACTTGATCGGTATTCCTTTTCTGTACTTCGCCCTCTCTGTCTCTAACTGTTTTTGCCATCTCTCTTTTCTCAATCTATTCCCTTCTGTCTCCCAAGAGAAGAAACAACTTATTCGTTCCCTCTCTGATTATGTTCCTGTATTTATTTTTCGCTCCCTTTTGTAACCCACTTATTGAGGACTTATCTTACATAAATAACTTTCAATTCTCTCCACTTACCCAATTATGACAATTGCAAAACGCAGTTTTGTTTTACACCTGGGACACCTGAAACACCTGGGCTGGCGGCCAACTCAATTAGCCCGAATTGCAATAGACTAAATGATTTTTTCGCGTAGTGCGCGAATGCGTTTATCGACTGTTCCACTTATTCGCATAGATTGAAAGCTCTAGCTCAATTAGGCTAAATAGGGGTGGGAGAGAGAAAGAGAGGGAGGGAGGGAGGTAGGGAGATGGGCTCGATTGAGTGGGTCGGCACGCACAAAGGTTTGTTTTATTCTTAGAAAGACAGCGTTACATCCTTGTAACGCGATAAAGTGTCAATAGAAATCGGCAAACGTCAAACAATGTTCGACAATTGTCAAACCATATCGTCAACATAATCTTTCATTGTTTAAACTGAAAGAAGGGGGAAGAGAGGCACAAAGAGGGGAGAGAGAGTGGGAGACTAGACCTTATCAACATGCGGCGGTGTTGTCAAAGTCTAGGCAAGCTCGTGTGCGGGCTAAACAGAAAGACACAGATAGATAGAGAGAGGGAGAGAGAGTGTGTCAGAGTGAGACAGAGCTAGATCGTCTCTAATAGTTGGGGAATTCGCGAATGAAGCTTGGCTTGACTCCACTCGACTTGGCTTGGCTGCTGCGACAAACAAAGTCTTCAGCTTGCATTCAAGCATTCAGGCAGGCAAACATAGTCGCTCCCTCTCTCGCTCTGTCTGTCTCTCTCCCTCTCCGCCACCTGCTACATCTTTGACTCAGCGTCCATTCATAGTTCCACTCGTTGTATTTGCGCTCAACTCGAATGAGGCACGCAGCAGCTTCAAGTGTTTGCCATATGTCGGCGCTTTGATCTCTGCTCGCAGTCACAGTTCACAGTTCGCAGTCGCAGTCACGGTTCGCAGTCACAGTCACAGTCACAGTCGGTGGCCGCTTTAATTTGTATAAAAGTATTTTTCTTTTTGCCAAAAACTTTTTTGCTGTTTGTCTTCAATTTGTTTTGTTTTTCGCTTCAAACGAAACGCCGCTGATCGATTGTAGCGCTCGGCTCATTCATCGATGCGATCGTTATCGAAATTAGATAACGATAACAACTTGTTTGGCTGTTGTGAAACACGACTTAATTACGAACCACGCACCAAGACCAAGAACTCATCTCCCTCTGTCTTCTGCCCTCTGCCTCTACCCCTGCCTCTACCTCTGCCTCTAACTCTGCCTCTACTTCTGCCTCTATCTCTGCTCGTGCCATGGACATCTTTTTGGCCCGTACACAGCCTCCTCTTTGATCTTGAGCGGAGAGAGGGGCGCACGAGCAGTTTGACTCAGGGTCGCCAACTGCTGCTATTTTTGGCCGGTTCTTGCGGTCTATTGGAATTCGTCCCTCTCTTTTCTTCGTGGCCGTGCAATTTATCAACGCGTAGTTCAAAGCGATTGCAAAAATAGCAAAATGATTGCGAATTGACAAACGATATGCGTGAAACACATCTCTCCAGAGATCATTTCAAGATAAGAGACCTTTCTGCAGTATCTACATAAATGTAGGTCGTACATTGCTTTGTAATAGGAGACTAATTCAGGGCAGGGAAACAAGGAGGAGTGCTGCATGACTAGAATATACCCTGAGAGTGATATTTCTATGTCTACTTAGTTAAATCAACTGTTTATCGATTCTTGAAGGGCTCTGCCATGCCTCCTGCTGCCTGTAACAAAATCGAACATTTTCATCAATGCTCCTTGCCTTGCCTTGAATCACATCAGATATAACACAACTCTCGACACATAAACACCTAAAATAATTTAATATTTTTTTTTTTTTTTTTTTTTTT